AGTGGCTATACTTTCACGAATAACTAATTACGCCCAGCATTGTCTTATTGTTATTTCATTGTTATTTACTGTTATTCCATAGCTCATGATTTATCTACTTTGTAATGTTTTTGTTCATTCACGTTGAGAAAGTCCTGATGACAGGACGAAATATTCGTGTGCAATAAAATACTTATGTTCCTCCAATACGTCAACCGTTTCATTTGATTTTATTAATTTCTCTATTATATATATATATTATATATATATATATCATCTATCTGTAAATTAGCTTTCTCGTTGGTGGCGCTGTCCAGAATGAGAAAAATTCATTTAAGATCTAGGTTGTATTTGCTTTCGTTAAGTTCTTTCATTTGTTTAGCTTTAAGTTGTTGTTTTACTCTTTGTTCATCAAGTTTGACTGCGTCACTTTCTTGTGTGCTGCCACTGATGTAAAAGTGTAATGTCAATAAATATTATTATTATTATTACTAGCTGACCACAGGGCCCAAGAGAGAGGACACACTATGCCTAAAGGTCAATACTCAACAATAAATCACATAACACCGATCCTGTTTTGACAGCATTTCCACTTTGGAACTACTGAAGCAAATAATTATCCAACCTAACTGTCAAATACTCCAGACTCAAATAGAACAACACGTAAGTATGATAATCAATGTTCACTAATTTAATACCGGTAAGCATTTAAGCCAAGCCACAATTCGAACAAACTGTACATTGTACTGCCATGCATTGTGATACCATGTGAGCAAGTAAGAGGCAATAACTGCTTTACCCACTCTATAAGTAATAAACAACACTTGTATGCAAATGTGATTATTAGACCATACCAAAGTGATACACTACACTAACTTTAGCCGTTATCCTACTGACTTTGTTTACTACCAGCATTAAATGCGTTTTAGCATAATTTGCGCTATATATAAATAATCAAAACGTGTTAAGTAAGTTTATGTAATATTTCCATGAGTGAGCCATCATAATAAAATTCAAGTTCAAGTTCAAGTCAATTATTTATATGGCTTCCGTGGACTTTCTTGGATGCTGATTTGCAAATTGGTAATAAATGACAGTCGTTATAATGTCAAGTTGATTGGAGTAATGACTCAACAATTACTATATCAAATAAAGTCAATCTTTATTCATGTTATCATAAAAGAAAAGTATAACAAACATGAATATTAAAAGCGTTAAAATAAAATTCCTACTTTAAAGCCAGGATCTGGAGGATTTTTTTTTTTATGTTTTAGAACTGATAAATCATTTATGGATATCCGTAAATCATTTATGGATATTGAAAAATGTTGAATAAAAATCCCATGAACACCTTAAGTTAGGTGTCAAGGGGGTTTTTATTCAACATTTTTGGACAGGCCTATCGGGTTTTTAGATAGGCCTATACATAAATATTAATGGATATCCATACACACTCAGCTCAACGGAGTTAATTTGATTATTTTTATTCGTGTCTTTCACTTTTAATTCAACGCCTACTGTATAAATTGTTTGATTATGGTTTTTGAATTAAAACCTAAAATACCGATAGAAATTGCAACTCAGCCTAGCAATATAAGCTACAGGTCTAAATTGCGTCTGCCAACCTATGCGAATCGACATCATTGCAGTTCTCTGTATTCAAGCTACAGTATTTATGGATATCAATAAATACGTTTGTAATATATTATCGTTATCTTCAGTTTTAATACAGTACCCACACCGCACAAATAAACTATTTATAACTGTACATTTCTATGTATAGCGCCACCTATAGTCGAAAATAAACGCTTCTAGAAAATGGTAGATTGCTGTATAGTTGTGTTGTTCATATACACGTGAAAGTTTATATTCATACATACTTCATTGAGTTCACCATACACTACAACGTTTAAACCCCTTTACTCGCTAAACAAGGAGTTAATGGGTTTTTATTCAACATTTATGGATATCCATAAATCATTTTTTGGATATCCAAAAATCCTATATCAAAAATTGTTCAATAAAAATTCCATTAACACCTTAAGGTATCAATAGGTTTTTATTCAATATTTATGGATATCAGACTTATAGATATCCAAAACTGATTTATGCCATCCATTAATCATTTGATTTATGGATATCCAAAATGGTTATGTCTTTTGTTAAGGTAGTACAAACAATGGACCTTTCCACTAAGCTCCGCCCCTTGGATTTTGTTGCTAAGGTCTCACAAGACGGCAGTGTTAAAACATACACGAACACGTGCGTTTGTGGGACAACACGTGTGTTTGTAAGACGCGCGCGTATTCCTAACGCTGTTCTGATTGGTCAGTTGTTAAGTATGATTGACACTCCAGAAAGGTCTATTTGTCAGGCCTTGCCTTTGTCGTACTTCCTCCATCTTAATATTTGTGCTTTTTATTAATGATGACAAATAAAGATTGATTGATTGATTGTATATGGATATGGATATGATATTGAATAAAAGACCCAATGACACCATGGTACTTCTGTGTACATTAATTGTTTAAACGTATGCATTGACAAAAAAAATGTATTTTTAATATTGGTATAATACCATGGCATAAACATGTTCAACTTGGAAATAAATCGTCCCTTAAAACTTCCAATTTTTAAAATACTCAAAACACTCCGTTAACGTTAAGTGTCTCTCCCTCCCTTCAATTTATTACATATCCAACCTACACTCGTAGGCCTATAGACTTTTCGACCAACTCCGATTCGTTTGATGCAGCAAACTTCGTCTTAAAATCGCAATGCAATCGCTAGATAACATCCGTACTTTCCAAATTTATCAACATACCCACCGTCACGATAATTCCCTTTTCTTCGGCCTCTTACATAATGATCTTTATTATTTAAAACGTATTGAAACCCTTATTTGCAAAAAAAAAAATAAAAAAAAAAATTATCGATCCATTTGCTTCTTCCACTCACTACATTACCATCTTTTCCAGATTCAATATAATTCCATTTAAATTTCCTGCAGGCAGAAATTCTTCAACCTTCTTTTTCTCTTAATTGTACAACCAAAATCACCCTTTATAAGCTTCTCTCCCCCAACGTCGCTCATTCTCTACTTCATTGTGCCATTCTCGCCATTCTTACTCTTTTCCTCTTCCTGCTGGAACCGCCCGTCTTTCCATGTGTTCCTAGTATCGTCGGTAACGACCTGGCTCTTGATCCGCTAATATAAACCTTACAGATATAAAACAGCTCTTAATTTTAAGTTTACATAATTTATCTTGCTTAAGAATATTGCGGTTTTTTTAAATTTAAAATGTAATTTTGATTGTGTTTTATGTGATTGAGATATGTTTGTGATAGTGAATAATTGCCCTCGATGGCTCTAGTAGCACTAAATAATCTGGAGGTTTACAGTATGATTCAAATAGATTGAAAAAATTACTATTGAGATCTAAACTATAAATAGACTTGCTCAACACTAAATGCTCAAAATGAATAAATTTTATTTTTCATGCATAGGCCTACATGTACAAGATCACATAAAATGAAAAAGAAAAACCAAGAAGCGGGTTTATTTTCAATGCTGACACTATGACCATAAAGGAAACAATTAAAATAATATCGAAAAAAGAAAATGTAATGCAGAAGTAAATTAATATCATACAAACAAATATCGGTATGCATTGTGACGTTACCATAGGCATACATCTTAACAATACGAACGCAATCAGCTGCAAGCTATGTAGCTTTTAAATTCTAAATTAAAAATAACCCTAGCCTGTGGAAAAAATCAGGGTGTCCAAAAACCCCACAGATCCCAGTCATGGGCTCGGCACCCACATCCAGCAAGCATATCGAATGAAGCACTCTTTGCTCACGCTAAACCCTTCTACACAACAAACTTAAACACTTGGGTTCAGACACCTTCTGGCAACCCCTACATGTCAAAATGCAATGGCTTCTGTGAAAGGTGGTTGATCAAACCATGGAGGTCAAACTTAACTGACTAACCAGAAAAGGGGCCAAGAATGCGCGTTTGTCCCACTGACAAAACTACAAGCACGTGTTCTACCCTACAAACACGTGTTTACGTTACGTTTACGCTGTCGGTTCCAGGGGCCTTGGCAACATTATCCAAGTGTCATTATGATGATTGGTCCACATTAAACTTTCTTGGATGTACATATAGACAGAAAACGTCCCGGATTCCTTCAATGATGGATCCTAGGTTATTCTCTCTCACTCACTTATTCTTTTCCATCTTGACCCTTTAATCAAATTTATTGATATAAAAATCCCAAAAATATTAAACCATTTTAATTTTTATTTTCTTGCATTAACATTAGTATTATTTTGCACTTTTATCTGAATACTGTATTTACGTAAATGTATGTATGGATGTATGTGTGTATATGTGCGTGTGTGTGGGTGTGGGTGTATGTATGTGTGTATGTATGTATGTATACTGTCTCTTATACACATCTAGATGTGTATAAGAGACAGATAGACTTTTCGTATAAGAGACAGATATAGGCCTATATAGTTATCGATATGTATGATGTATTTAGGCCTATGTAAATATTATTTATGTAATCTGTATATAATTATTGCAATTTTTCTTAGGGATTATATTCTACTGGTTGCTCAATAGCTAATACTATTGAATTAATTGAACTGATGTCAATATCGTATGTCTATTAAAATTTTTATTTTCTTGCATAAACATTAGTATTATTTTGCACTTTTATCTGAATACTGTATTTACGTAAATGTATGTATGGATGTATGTGTGTATATGTGCGTGTGTGTGGGTGTGTGTGTATGTATGTATATATATATATATATATATATATATATATATAGGCCTATATAGTTATCGATATGTATGATGTATTTAGGCCTATGTAAATATTATTTATGTAATCTGTATATAATTATTGCAATTTTTCTTAGGGATTATATTCTACTGGTTGCTCAATAGCTAATACTATTGAATGAATTGAACTGATGACAATATCGTATGTCTATTAAACTTTATAGTTTATTTAACGTATGCTAGGCCTAGTATAATATTAGAATGTTAAGAAAAAAAGTGAATAAAAAAAAAGTGATACCTTCCCTAAATACGACCAGTATAATAAGAACGGTTTTTCTGCCTGAAAAATTTTGCTGACCTTTCCCGACAAGGTTGGGGAGGGTCCTTTCGTCGTAGTACCACCATCACCACTGATTACCAGAGGAGTGACGCAAAAGGCAAACCAGTCTATTCTTGTAATAGACACTATAATAATTCTATCTTCCTATATATGCTATTGAAAATGGTTTAAAATGGTACACTTGAGGGTCCACTCTTGGATTGTCCTGTCTTGTGCAAAAGCCTTGGCTACAATGCTGGTGATTGGTCAAAGCATGGAGGTATGGTCAAAGTGACCATCGTAAATTACGTAAATAAGCCACAGGTGACAAATTTGTTAATAGCAGTTTACTAAGTTGTTCGTTGTTCATCTATTTCTTAACCGTGTTTGAAATCGAAGATTTCCGTCAAATAATTTCTGTGGTTCCGAGGCACTTATCATTGATAACTAGTAGAACTTCTTTAATTGTACTAGTTTAGATAATCTCGCTTAGGGGTTTGAAACACATTTACAATTTCTGGATTGTAGAAATGGTGGCAATTTGGCAAAGATACGACCAATCGTCGGCTCTGTCTCTAGCAGCTGCGTACTGCAATTGTTCTTAAGACTGGTGGTAAGTTATCGTACGATTGGTGGTATATGTGGTGGTCGTGTGATCACCAGCGATTGAATCTTTAAGTAGGACTTTAGATGAAGTTGGTAAAAGATGAGTTTCTTCGCTCGCAATATACTCCTCCTCGGATTTGAATGAACTGTCCATCGTCTCTTCAATAGATCCAAACTTCAATTGAATAAATCTGTTTAAAAAAAGAAGAAAATTGAACTGTTGAAGTGACCGATTAATAGCTTGGGATCGTAAGGGTCTCAGGCAAATTCACTGGAAACCAAATGCATACAGCTAGCACAGTGTGGCATCAATATGAGGGGAACATAGCACATCGGCATGTCAATAGAGTACTGAATATTTTTTAATTAGCAATACTTTTATTATAGCAACATTTAGACACTACCTTAAATGATGACCCAAAGGTGACGTCATGGTCATGCGTATTACATTCTATCAGATGCAATCTACATTTTGTTACACAATAAGCCAATTAATAATGACTCGATCAGGATGTTCTCATCAAACATGATACATTAATAATTACGTCAACTCAAAATCTTTAGTTTTTGTAACATTCTTTTATTGTGTGTTTTTTTTAAATAAAGATTGATTTTACTGAGCTACATTGAATTATTTGTGAGGTGGTCAATATACTTACATTACAAGAAGCATATTAATTAGAGCTCCTGCGAACATTATGTAGAAAATAAGACTTGGGTTCGTTTCTACGGTAGCTGAGTAGGTGACGCCGATCCAAATGGGTCCTAGTAGGAATCCGAGGTTGTCCAAAACACCAGCCTGAGCGAATATAGCGCCTTTGTGATGAAAAATAAGATAATATTATTATCTTATTTCGTCGTATTTGAATAAAATATATAAATATATTTCAATCACACATGCTTAGGCCATAAGAAATCAGTTTAACTAACCTCTCTCGTTCTTCTCTACCAATTTTGACAGTTGAGCCTCTACGATGGCTTTCGGTAGGACAGCTAAAAGTGCCATTGGCACGGCTATGTAAAGAAGCAAAATTACATTCATTAGTAGGCCCAGTGCTGGGAAAATGTTTTTTTTTTCTCATTTTTTTTGCATTGTTAAATCTCACAGTGTGATAGTGACCAGTATAGGCCTAAGGCTATATTTTGAACGAATACATTGCTTCCATGCCTTGAACATTGCCTTCATGTAGTTTTCAGGCATTAATGGGTTTTTTTTGTCACTATTTTTTCAATAGTGTCTTCAAACAGTATATTTTATTTATTATATATATTTTTCATTGAACTGATAATTACACAGTCTATGATCTATGTAAAGGCATTATCGTCTGTGTTGATCTAGAGTACCCTATATAACCTAAGTTAAGCATTAAATTCATTATTTGAATGGCTTTCTCTGTATACGTATCTATAGAACCCCTCTGGGACGCCCCTATTAAGGTGACGCTTTTCAGTGAAAGGAGAGGAAATATATCTTTTAACACTGCAGCCAATCCCTATTAAAGCGTGCTTCTTAAAATTTCTACACTGTCGCTACAGTGTTTTCAGTTCAATCGTCGTACTGCGTATCAGTCCCTGACGCATTCGGGAAGGCGCCCCGATTTGATAACCAATCAAACCTGGTTTCGATTAAATAGCGCTGCACGCTATCGCCGACTCTTTTGGCGACACTGATTGGTCAGTTGAATAAAGCTCGGTTTCCATAGAATCGCTCACCCTATCGGCGACAGTTGTCGGGAAGGTTGAACCGAGTTCAACTTTGCCAATTGCGTTGCAGGCGAATCGGGGTGCTTCCCGATTGCGTCAGGGGAGCTAGCAATGCACCCGGCCTGATTTGTCTGCAACGCAATCGGCGAAGTTAAATCAAGTTCAACCTTCTCGACAACTGCCGCCGACAGGTTGAGCGATTCTATGGAAACCGAACATCACCGAAAGTTGTCTGCGATAGCGTGTAGCGATTGTTGGAAACCAAGCTCAATGATCGCAATAAAAACGCTGTATAGCGACTGTGTAGCGATTTTATGGAAGCCAGGCTTTAGGGACACGTCGCCTGATTAGGGACGAGGACACTTTCTGAGTGTGCCAAATGGTCAAATCAATACATTTTCAACCCCTATTAAGGGGACACCTTTTTATTGTTTCAATATTGTTTTTTATTGTATCACTACAAATACAACAATATTTCATTCAAATATATATTTTTACAACTTTTGAGCAATAAAACGAATATATTTTTTTTTTGATTCTTAAAAATGGATATCGGTATATGTCCACTGTGTGTTACATAGTATAAATTAATCATGATTAATCAGGATTTTTCATATAAGATTTTACTCTAAATTTTAAAAATATATGTTTGTTTTGTACTGGAGACCAGGCCCTCCCATCCAGCTGTCTTGATTACCAATAAAGAATAAAAATAACACTTTAATCATAGGATTTTTTTTGCTGTGTACTTTCATATAGAATTCAATCCACCAATCACCCTGATTTAGGCCTATAAGTACTCTATTTTTCTGCTGTATCTGTCATAGCACTGGAACACTACAGCTGTTATTGTTTTAATTACATTTATTTTGATTTCATTATAAATATATTGTAGGCATATTTTGCACTGCAAATTATTGTTTAATATAGGTCCTATATTGTAAATCGTTCTTAGGTCAACTAAAATTAAATTATAAAGAATTTATGTTCTTATTGTATCGACTACTTGCAAAAACCCATATTAAGGGACAATTTCAGATTTTTCGGTTAGTCTCCCCTAATAGGGGTCCCTATTCCGGGGACACTTTTTTGGGTCTGGAAGGTGTCCCCTTTATAGGGTTCTACTCTATTTTGAAATAAGTTCTAATTAAAATTTAGAACGAGAAAATATTTCTCTCAAATGTATGCTTAAAGCTTTTTTTTTCTCAAAATCTATTTAAACATTTTTATGTTTATGTATCACTCACACAAGTAGACGACAGCGTCCGTGGTTCCGGCAGCGATAATCAGTGATGACGACATAGCTGACAAAGACCCGAGGTAGAAGAGAGAGTAGTCGCTCATGTTGCAATACTTCTGCAGTGGTTTGGTAATAAAAAGCATTCCTAAAAAATATAAATTGACACTAAAATAATAACAGTTTCAACATCATGTAGCGTATAATGCTAGACACCACAATGTGACAATAATGTAGATAATGGAAACACTGTCCCGCTTAAAATAAAGTTAGTACAAAGAGTAACTCAAAAATAATTTCGAACAACACTAGCCCTTCATCAGTCAGTGGCGGATCCAGGAATTCGAAATAGAAGAGATCCAGGGAGGGAGACCACCTCAGCCCCATCATGGTTGGGGCTGAGGTAAGAGAATTTATGATTATGGCACCTCTAGATGGCCGGAAATGGCACCCTCATACCTAAATTTTATTATTTATAATTTGTTTTTATAATTTTGAAAAATTTAGGAGGGAAGGGGGAAGGAGCGGGCCAGTTCGGCCTCCCCTTTAATCCACCACTGTCAGCTGTCAGTGGAGGAATATACATATAGGCCAACCCAGGATTTTCTGCTGTCTATAGAGGCCTTTAATATCAATCAAAAATTGCCGTTAAGTTATATATATATAAAAATCATCAAAGAAAGGTACAGTGTTCGAATAAAGGACATGATAGTACATCCTGTAGCATGGCCTTCAAAGAATGTTGTCCTATATAATAAGTACATACTTTGGGTAATCAAATGCCTCTGACGGGATTCGAACCTGCGACCTCTCGCTGTCAATGAGAACGTCATAACCATTGGACCACCTGCTGCATTTGATACAGTATCCGGAAGTAAAAAAAACCGGATGTGCTGGTAGACATAGAGGCGGACCAATAACGTAGAATTGCAACGCATGAGAGATGCCGTTTATTATTATAGAGTACCGGTATAGAACACAAGCATATATTATCCACCACATTAATTTCCGACGGTTATTTCTATTGCTCATCATTACACTGATTATGTCCACTACGACATCCTTGAACGAAAATCGTTGCCGCATTTGACCCGGATCCATGGATTCCTTCATCAGTCATGCGGTGTAGAAGATAGGCTGTAGATTTCTATTCATCTGGAAAAAAGTACCTGTCCAAGAGCAATTCCAAGGTAATTGGTACCAACGAGTGATGATATACGGAGGGTTAGATTTGCCCGAGTACAAGTATCGCTAACGTAGGAACCGGCACCAGATCGGTGTAAAATGGTGTTGCCCGTCAAACCGATTGACAGGTTGCCGATAAGAAGAAACTCGATTGGTAATCCGTATAGGTACACGACCGTAAGACTGATGGATGTCACTAGCAGTCCTACAGTTGGCAGGATTATTGTGATTTTTCTTTTACCACGGTCGCTCCATGTTAACACGAACAGTATAATACAGTATGTGCCGGGAGAGTCTAGCAAATAACAAAAATTGTGGTCCAATCTTCCACCAATACCTGAGTGTAATCTGTGTCTACATCCTCAGATTTAGAATTAAGTGTCAACAAAACTACATACTCTGTGAATACCACACCTTGTATAGCGAAAAGTGAGAAAGCCAGATGCACGATAATTACAAGGATTTCTACTGGAACTTTAAAGCAGAAATCGAGCAAAATGCATGATTGTTGTGTTGTCAAAGAAACCAACTACCAACTTTATATACTAAAGGTGTACTGGCAAATCAGATAAATGAGTTTACTTGTGGTTAAACGAATATGAAATATTGACTATATTTTATTTAATAAATAAAAGTAGGCCTAGGCCCTATAAATAAAGAACCATATGGTGTTTTTAAACATATTCAACACATCCAGATGTTCGGTTTCAATTCACTTTATAAATAAATTATAATTTTATTATAAAATAATGATGATGATGATGATGATGATGATGATGATGATGGTGATGATGATGATGATGATGTTGATGATGATGACGATCATCATAATCATAATCATCATCTTACCCTTATTTTAGCAAACAGCAAACATTTCCTACTGATTTTCAAATAAACAAAGATATATCTAATATACAAAATAGGCCTATCTATTAAATGAATTTAGTCATTTCTAATGAAAAGAAAGCAGATTAAGACCCATTTTTTGTAGCGACGACACTAAAATAAACGCTATTAAAATCACTTTTTCATTCTGCATATGAAAAATAAATTTCAATCGAAATTTGAAATGGGTAACCATCAATATACGGTATATTTGAGGACAAAACGCTAACGACTTCTAACTATTAACAACGTCGGGACAGTGTTTTTACAAAGTTCATCATATTATTTTATCTGGTATGCCACTTAGAGCAAGGTTGAGATTGTTTAGGATCATAAGTAAGATGTTTCAACAGCGAGCATCCTAATGTAACGAAGATGACTGTCGGTTATTGACAAACAAGAAATATTGTCGTACATTAAGTTTGACGTCAGTAACTGAGTGGTTAATGATTTTTATGTCGTTAGGTTAAGCTCTGAATATAACATAGGCCTATGGGAATAAATCGTCTAGACAAAAATAACTACATACAGACCATGTACTAAATTCCAACAAACGCGTGGCGCTATTATTTTTTTCATTCTAAAGCATAGCACAAACAAAATAATATAGCAAATCTAAAATAAATTTTAACTTATGGTAAGCAGACACAGAGTGCCAGAACTTTCGGGAAAGATTAGTCATTTGTTAATTTAATACGAAATAAAGCTTATGCCAAATACTTACCTACAGTTACTGATATTAGAAAACTAAAGGTAAAATATCCAATCTCAGTAGTTGACCATTCTAGAGGTGGTCCAATGAAATACAGCATCATTGAAATCCCATATGCGTTAATTTCCATCGACGTCAAAAATCGGATAACCAACCAGAAAATCAGTCTGAAACGTCTGTCATTAGTGTTTTTGGTGACAACTTGTATCATATCTGAAACAACCTCTTTTACCGTTGTTGTTGTTGAACTTCTGACAACAGTTTCCTTAATAAAGCATATAATATATGGAATACATAAAACCAGCATCCCTGTCATAAACAGGAATGATGGTAAGAAACTTGAATGACCGATCCATAATGAAAATCCAAGCTGCCCTATAGCTTGACCAAACATTGAAACACCTTGAAGAACTGACAAACGAAATGTTACATTTTCTTCATTCGCTGTGATGTCACTGATGTACGAACAAGCCCCTGACTGTAAAAGTGAACAGTTACCTGAAAAACCTATCGCTAGGTTTCCAATTATCAGGTACTCTATTGGCAATACATATGCATACACCACACTGTAATTGATCGCTGCAAGGAGAAATCCGATTGTGGGTAGTACCATGGTGATCTTCCTTCCAAATCGGTCGCTTAATGTAGAGACGTATAACGTAACAAAGAAAGCTGGCAGGGTATGAAAAACAAGAAATATGGTAGTCCAGTTCGATACACGTATCTGGACTTCTTCCACCGTATAACATGTTGATGCACTATCATTAGACAGACAGGTTGCATTTAGTTCCAATTGTACTACGTACTCAGTGAAAAGTACTGCAAGCGTAGTCAATAAGGACAATGCTGTGATGAGATTAAAACCACAATTTCGACGGCAAAGCGAAATTTAGCCATTCTGTGTAGGTCTACGCTGAGACGGAACTATTTAGCAAATAATTATCAATTCGGCAAAATGTTCATATCACGTCGGCCTAAAATAGGACTTTTTGTTAGCTCCTTTATAATACCAGCTTAAGCAAGTAATTCTCTGTCAAAGAAATAAACTGGTATTTTTTTATTCGATGTCTTGCTATCTATGATAAGCCCATGGCACTGAAGTCAAAGCTAGCGCCACATAGACCTATATAAATATGAAGGTACCCATATTTTGTTTGTTTAATGTAATTGTTGTACTTTTATTGTATATATATAATTTATATATATATATATAATATACATATATATAATATATATATATGTATTATATATATATAAATTTTAAAAGGCAAATGGTAAAAACCCATAAAACAGCAAACAGCCACATAATGCAAAACTATTTAAAGTTAAAACGGAACAGTAGAGAAAATCCGATCAGAATGACAAAATAAACTAAGCATCCACTGGAAGGAATCCCAATATCTGCAGACGGATCCGTTTCAGCCTTCCAGGCCTCATCAGTGCAGCTAGGGTA